CATTTGTGTGCCACGTTTTAATACCTCTGATACCACTTGCTACTCATAAACATTTATGTTCTTCAGCATCTCTGAAAGAATCATGACATCAGTGATCATTGAAAGACAAGATTCACTTATAAAACCTTTTAAGAGATCTCCAATTCAAAACTTCCTCTACAACTCTTCAGTAAGAACTGGAGCTCCATAAAGATGCTCTGGGCAGACTTGTGTGCCAGCAGATTCATATACCCATCTGAAAGAAGCACAGATCTACTGAGCAAAAACATGTCAAGTGGGCACAATAGCCTGGTATTTCTTATAAGATATCACAGTCCCTGGCAACTTTAGACCTTTAAAATCATGTATGAACTTCACATACATCAGTGAGATTTTGGTGAACTCATCTCTGGGACATCTAGGGACAACCATGACATGGGTCATCCTTAGAGCCAATCTGGGCAAACTCCAGGCATTGAGTTTACTTACTGGATTAAGCCTTAGGGGTTTGGAACTAGGGGGATGATGCGTTTAGTTTCCTACCTGTTCTTTTAGGAGGCTGTTTAATGTAATGGTTAAGCATCCAGACTCAGAGACAGACTGCCTGGAGTCAAATTCTAGCATTGCTGTTTATTATCCGTATGACCTTGGGAGAGTTTTATAACTTCTCCATGCTTCAGTTTTTTAAATCTCTAATATAGAAAAATAATAATGCCCATTTCATATGATTGTTATGAGAATTAAATAAGAAGTAAAGTACTAGAATAGTGCCCATGTGTCTGCATTGTAGTGTACTGTGGTTATAGACTGTATGAAATGGGAACATCAAAGGCAAAATCAGGGACAAAAGATAGATGGTGGCAGAATGGGTTCAGGACCTCTTCAGACCAAGGGTGAATGAATATAATGGATGTTATAAGCCTGAGCAAGGGAAGTGTAGTGGTTGAAGTCCATGAGCAAAACTGAGGTCAAAGAAGGCACAGACCTTAAGTAGTTACATGAGAAAAAGTTTATCCTGAGCAGTAGCCAAGCAAAAATAAATTCACAACGAATTACTGTAAAGTGGCAATGGTTATTTAGAGTAACTGAAACCTGTTGTGGGGTGGGAGAAGTGTGGGAAAACAGTCACATCCTACTAATGGAAGTATAAATTGGGATCGTTTTTTGGGAGAACCCTAATTGGCAAAATAAATTTAAGGTCCTTAAATATGCATACCCTAAATTACTCTTGATTCTACTTTTAGAGCTTTATACTATTGAGAAGAAACTTAATTTGCAACAGGAAGATCCTAAGTGTATTATGACCCATTCAAACACTGTTACTGATGTTCAAGTTAAAAGTCATTCAGTTCTTGACCACATAAATCTATGTCTTTATACTATTTCTATGACAGGTCTGCCAGTTGAACTCTGTAGAAAGGAATCTTCTTTATTTGTGAAGGAAAGTGGACTCAGGCTTTACTGTAGAATAAGAAAGCCTGAACTCCACGTTCTTATGCTATGAGGTAATGCCTCTGTTGAGTGTGGAAAGAGCATTTTTGTTGCTTTATAATATTGCTATTGGCAAACTCATTAGTGCTGTATAATAACAATACTGAAGTAATGCTGTTAAGTTTCTTGATTTTTAAAATTGAGTATAGAAGTTAGAGTCATAACATTTATTTGTTAAATTAAAATATATATAATGTTTATGCAGATAGTAAAACAAAAATCAGTAATATGACACTTCATCAAATTGGCAAATTTTTTTTACAACTTTATTGAGGTATAATTGAAGTATAATAAACTGCACATAATGTCTACAGTTTAATCAGTCTTGACATTTTCATCTTCCTAAAAGATTTCTCATACCCTTTTGCAATCTGTCACTCCCACCAGCTCCACTCTCCAGGCAACCACTGACCTGCTTTCTGTTGCTGTTGATGACTGGCAAAGATTTTTTAATAGTAATATCCAATACCAAAATAGGAAACAAGGTACTTTCATATATCTCTGTGGGAGTCTGATATTGGTACAACTTCTTCGGAGGGCAATTTATCAGTTTCAGAAACCCTAAATATCCTTTCAACCAGCAATTCCACTTCTAACTTGAGGAAATAAATTTTTATGTGAATAAGGATTTAATTACAAGAATGTTCGTCACTGTGTTTATAATTGCAAAAAACTGGCAATAAATTAAATGTCCGATATTATGGAATTGTTTAAAGAAACAGTTCATACATATAATGAAATGTTATGCTTTTAGTATTAGCAGTAGAAGTATATTGTTTTGTAAACAATGACTGGATCATATGGTATTCCTATGTTTTTAACTTATTTTTTCAGTACACAACAACTAAAAAGTACATAGATAAAACAGGATTAAAAACATATCTTTAAAGCAAAATGTTGAAAGTAGTGTCCTTTGGCTGATGAGATTTATCTTAAGTTTTTCCAATATATAATATTTTCTTGTAAAAAAAATTTATTGCAATTTCTTCCTGATTATAAAGAGCTAACACATGTTAATGTAGAGAATTTGAAAGCTAACATAAAAGGAAGAAAATACATAAAATAGGATTGATAGACAGTCATTCCTTGGTATCTGTGAGGAATTGGTTCCAGGACTCCTTATAGATACCAAAATCCACAGATGCTCAAGTCCCTGATAGAAAAATGGCATCATATTTGCATATAACCTATGCACATATTCCGGTATACTTTAAATCCTCTCTGGATTGCGTAACATCAAATACAATGTAAATGCTATGTAAGTAGTTATTATACTGTATTGGTTTTTAAGTTTGTATTTTTTTAATTGCTGTAGTTATTTTTTATTGTGTGGGGTTTCCTGATGTTGTTTTTTTGTTGTTGTTGTTGTTTCTGTTTAGAAATATTTTCTATTTATAGTTGGTTGAATCCAGGGATGTAGGACTCAAGCATGCAGAGGGCTGTCTGTATTATTTTAAGCTATTTAAAGTTTTTTCTTTTTTAAAAAACAAAACAAAAACTTACGAAACTCTTTTATACTTTAATGGCATCAGAGTAAACTTCCTTCGACCTTGGCCCCTGCCTGCCCCCACCTTTTTCAGTCCCTACTCTCTGTATGCCCTTGTGGTAAGGCATGCCCTGGGGTTTCCTAGAACACAAATTCTCTAGGTCCCTGCCCTTGCTCCTGCTGGCCATCCACCATCAGTCCTCTTCTTCCTTGACTATATTCTCCTCATCCTTTGAAATTTACTGTCATTGTCATCTCCAGCAAGCCTTTGCTGAGCTTTCAGCACTTCTCCTTTCCCATTCCCACTGCTCTCTATACCCATCCCTAGTGAGACCCCTATCACATTGTATTATTCATTTTCGTTCCTCTCCTGACAGACTGAGCATGGCTTGATAGCGGGACAGTATTGGTTGGCACAATACGTAGAGCTTAACTAGCACAATGGCAGTTCGAGCTTAACTAAGAGAGTATGTGCATGTGTGTAACCAAACAATAGAAATAAAGATGTGTTGGAATCAAATAGCCTAGAGTATTGGATATATCTGTATGACTGGAGCATGGGATCTTCGTGAAATATTTAGTAGATGAGGATAGAGAGATAAATGGGAGCCAGATTATTAAGGGCTTCCTAAGTTATCCTAAGGATTTTGGGTCCTGTAGTGTAAGTGATAAACCAGTGAAAGACCTTTAAGTAAAAGAATGGTCTAGCCTTGGCAAGATGGTAAGCACAGCAATTTAACTCTAAATTTATAGGTGAATTTTCTTTGTCAGAATCCAGAAATCAGTTAAGAGGCTCCTGTGTGCCAGGTGAGCATGAAACTAGCCAGATCTTAATTATTGGCATACTCTCATGCCATAATTCCTATCTATAGTGCAATGCCATACAATCAGGACAGCCGCCCCCTACCCCCAGCTCCCAGCTTCTTTCTGCCTGGAAGGGGAAAGATGTGTACCATACATCCAATGCCTTAGCTTTTCTAGCCCTTAACTACCCAAAGGACTGGCTTCTGTCCAGCCAGTCTCAGGGTGCTGACAGGACATGGCATATTTTAGTAACCCGGGGCCAGTGAAAACAGAGGTGGGTGGTGGTGGTGGTGGTCACCGTAACCATCCCCTCCTCAGCCCAGCACAAAGCTTGTAGTTGAAAAGCTCCAGCATTCAGTTTTTTTCCTGGAGTGGCAAAAGAGGTGCACCATGTATCCAGTGACCCAACTTATCTGGGATTTGACTAAAGACTTGGCTTCAGTCTTGCTTGTCTCAAAGCTCTGAGCCCCAGGCTCACTCCTCTTGATTTCAGAATCTGTCCATGGCCTGGCTTGAATTAATGCACTAGATAATCCTTAGAATGGTCAGATTCTTGAGATGTTTGAGCAACATGATAACTACTAGATTATTAGTAAATCAGAGATGGTTGCCAGGAGTCTATGTTGGGTAATGAGTAGCCTCATGGGTTATGAGCAAAGCAAGTTAGGGAGAGTACTAGTTTAGAGATGATACCCTGTTCTTTTTTTTGGGTGTTCGTGAGTTAGAGTTGTCTGTGGGACATCCTTGTGGAGGTGAGAGGACCACTAGGCTGTTGAATACCTGCATTTGTAGCTCCAAATAAATTTGGACGGATTCAGCTTTCATTTAACCTGGTGTGCCTCAGTTGCTGTATATGTTGGGGTTTTGTGCCTCTTTTTTGAGATATAAAATATTAAAATGCAAGGTGAAGACACTGCAGATTCCCAATTTTCCCCCCATTGTAATTCCACACATCAGTTTCCCTTGTCCTTTTATAGCCTCCCTACTACACTCAAGTCCCAATGAAACCACTTTTTTGGATTTTTTTAAACTTGTAATTTTAGGAAAATTGAAACAACGTTACCCACCTTTTAATAGAAGCTGCAAATGCCTCTACAGTATGACAAAGATACTTGATTGGCAGTGTTTCTCATTTCTTTGTTACTATACCAAGTAAAGCCATTGAGTTAATAATGCTATAACCTGTTTCTATCTTAATTATTTTAAGTCTAATAACAGTATTCCTTCGTTTTATTTATAGCTCCAAAAGGAATTCTTCATTTGTCTCCTGATGTTTATCAAGAGATGGAAGCCAGCCGCCACAAAGTAATCTCTGGCACTACTCTAGGCTATTTGTCACCCAAAGATATGAACCAACCTTCAAGCTCTTTCTTCAGTATATCTCCCACATCGAATAGTTCAGCTACAATTGCCAGGGAACTCCTTATGAATGGAACATCTTCTACAGCTGAAGCCATAGGTTTAAAAGGAAGTTCTCCTACTCCCCCTTGTTCTCCAGTACAACCTTCAAAACAACTGGAATATTTAGCAAGGATTCAAGGCTTTCAGGTATGAATTAAAAGCAAAAACAAAAACAAAACAATTCATTAGCCTCAGATCCTTCATCTCTATCCATCACAAGGCTCATACCTGCTAGTGTGGCCTACATGCCACTTACATTTTAAGTTATTTAGGAACACAAAGGACAGATGAAAAAAGAGCCATATGCACATGCTTCATTTTCTCTTATTTTTGTTGTATCTAGTAATTCTTTTGCTGCCTTTTCTCCATTTTCCTTCTTTTTCTTTTCTAAACATTTTTCATACTCTTTGCTGTCTTCCATTTGGTCTTGATTAGGTGCATCTATCTCTTCACTCTGTCTTCCACAAACAAAAATTCTGCCTTCAGACATTTGATGTTAGTATTTCACACTCAGTTCTCTCTCTTTTTACATAAGGATTGAGTTTTTTTTTAATGATGATTTTACTTTTTAGCAGTTTTGAATTTTGCATTCTGTTGCTAGTATTGATTCAGGTACACCATTAAGATACAACATTCTAGAAGTCTGTTACCATAGGAGTTAATTAAACATGGTATTTGAAGAATAAATGAAATGCTTTATAGTTGTTTGAGGCATAACAATGTGTATTTGTTTTACTGGATCATGTTTTGAACTGACTAGGGAGAGTAGCACCTGCTTCAGATGGTACCAACAATTCTATTTCACTGGGTAGTCTAAAACTAGCATATAGTTTAACTTAACTTTTTGTGTATGTGAATTTAGGGATGGAAACTTTTTTCCCCTGTTTATTCTTTGTTTCCTTTTGGAAAAAAACCCACAAAAACCAACACTCCTTTATAGATACATCAGAGCTTTTAAAAGAATTGTTAACTCTAGGAAGGGGGAATATCTGTGTCCTGATTTCTTAGTTGCCTTGAAAATCATGTACTGAACTGTAACCGCTAACTTGACTGGATGAACTACAGTTTGCTTGTGTGTAGAGAGTGTATTGCTTCCTCAGATTTCACTGTTTTCATCTTTTTTTCCATCTTAGTCTTTATTCCTTAAGACCAAAAACTGTAATATCCTTTAGAAATGCTCTACAATATCTGTATTGTGTAGAATGATCATGTATTTATAAAAATTTTACAAGTTTAGATTATAAAATGCAAAAAAAGATCATGTGTTTGGGGGGTGTTTTGCATGTTTGGATTCCTCCCACCCCCGGCCCCTTCACCGAACCCTTCTGATTCTTTCAAACTATTGCCAGGTAGTTGTTAGTGTTTTTAATTGGACTATTAACATGAACTTAAAGAAGCTGTTACGAATTATTGGCTCTGTCATCTGAAATTTTAACCACTTAATTTAAAGTTATAATTTTAGAGTTTGTTTTTGTTGTTTTACTTTAAGAAACACAATAAATCACTGTTTAAAAAAAGATCTCGATTTATATAAAGTACTGGGAAAAAACCTAAGTAACTTTTAGTTCTATCTATAATCTGCATAGGGTGAATTAGAAATAAATTGTGATGAAAAGAAATCCACTGCTTATTTATGAATCTAGTCATGTAGAAATGTCTGAGAGTAACACTGTATTCTTATAGAAACAAAGCACAAATCTCATTCAAGCTCTGAATTGCTCATTTGCTTGGAGCTGTTGTTACCATAGATGTAATTGTGCTACCAGAACTTCTTAATTTTTTAAATTTGTTTTTATTTGTTAGTTCTTGGCAATGACAGTAATTATAATTTTAACGTATCTTCACTATAGTCAACACACAGAGTCTGCTACCCTCATTATTGCATTGCTTAGGCCTTTTTAAAAAGCTTGTGCTGGCATAATATACTCTTATTATGGACACGTTACACGTTTCCTAATCTATGTATTGTGATTTTTACATACTAATGAATATAAACAGATGGTTTTAAAATATTACTGTGCTTTTTCGGTTGAATGAGCTGGTATTCGTGTGAAATACTGTGTCACTGATGGACTACCACCTGCAGCTAAGCAGTGAGCAGAATCTCTGGGAAATGGCTTAGTCCAGCCACATGTATAGCCCATCTTCATAATGTCCCAGCAAAAGATTCTTTGTGGTTAAGAGTTTTAAAGCCTATTTCTTTATAGGTAACTCTCTCAGGCATATTTACCTGGTAGAAAAACATGTAGATGGTTTCTATTACTTAAACGTTTTAATTGGACTGTAGTTTAGAAATTATAGGACCAGCTTGTTACAGATTATATGCAGTAAATTCTGTTACTTTTATTTCTGGAACTTAAAAACAATAAATTCTTTTTCTGTGTTTCTAGGTTAGAACTTTTTTATTTTATTGCACACTGAACAGATATTATTGGTTATTGAATATTTTGTAAACCCTTCCTTGGCTTTCCTTGCCCATTGCAATTTGATTTAAGCCTACTAGAGCCATTGTATGTGACAGCTATATTGTATTACAAAGTAAAAATATGTGAGTGTATTGAAAACAAAGTTGTTTTAACCTTTAATCTTGTTTCATCACCCGGTCTTTAATTTGAATTTATAAATTACAAAAAGCTACTTTGCTCAACTGACTGTAGGTATCCAAGCTCAAATCCTTTCTTTTAAATCTACAAAAGACGTAAAACGTATATACAATTAAAGTTATTAATAAAATTGACTTAACAGAGCAGAATGTGACCGAACACTTGCACATTCTTAGCAGTTCTTTTATTCTTGTTTAGTCTCGCCTAAAGTTTTTATCATATTTTAGAATTGAACCTTTTAGATCTCTGTCAGAAAGGAATGTTTATTTCTTTCAAGTTTTATCAAGTATTAATACATTTTATTTACCTTCTTTTAAATGTTTTATTCAGTAGTTCTGTGAACTTCAGACTTTGTTATGCAGCCTAATCATATGCTTCTATAACTTCTACACATTTTATAAAAACTCATTCAAACTTGTAGTCCTACCATAGTGTTTCAGGGTTCCTTGTTGTGTACTCTTATTATAATGCCAAAATGTTTCAAAATCATTTTTTAAAAAGAAAATTATGCAAAAGACATTCTCAAAATGCTGTGCATTTGAACTGAAGTGAAAGAATTTGTTTCATGTTGTACTTTACATTATTCTAAGGTTTCACATCTTTAATACGCTTTTATATGCTAATTATATTAGAAATCTCTTTATAACTAAATACAAGTGGTTTCTTTGTTTAAATGAGTCGTTAAAAGCTAGGTTGGAAATGAAAGTGGATTATTTTAGTAAATCATCCCTTCTAGATGGATTTCATTTCAATTTGCTACTCTGTGCCTCTCCTGTGAGATCCACTGAAACAGTGTTGTTTGTGAAACCTTCAGAGTATAACATACTAGTTTTTTTTTCTCACACAAATAATATAAAGAAGCACTTAGTCGGTGTTTTACTTAAACTATGATTAGTTTATTTAGCAAAATCAAGGAGTGTTTTATGGAGGGACATTTCATTATTGTATTATAATCATGCCATTTCCAGCAAGATGAGAATGTCTACTTAATGTTACTTTTCAAATATAATTCATGCTTAATACGTTTCAGCTGATGCACCTCGTTTTGTTGAGTTTAATATGATGATAGCAGGCTTCTTTTGTAGCCACAGACTTCTTTAAGTATTTATTTTTAAACAATATGACTGTAGTATAGATTACATTGAGTTGGGGCCAGTGGAAGTGGGGTAGGAGTGGTTGGTCTCCCTGAGAATCTGAGAATCAACCTTTCTCCTTTCTGTTTATTCTCATCTCTCCTATAGCTCATGTTTTCCAATACATATAGTTACCATCAACATGGCTATTTGCAGCAGCTTTTTTTTTTTTTTAAAGAATAAGGTATTCATTTTTGATAAGAGATCAATACAAATTCAACTTTGTAGATTACTCTTAGGAGAATATGGAGAAAGAAATCATCCATGTACATACATACCCACACTTAGGAATATAGTTGTCCCTTGGTATCTACCGGAAGGGTTGGTTGTAGGACCCCCAACGATACCAAAGTTCATGGATGCTCAAGTTCCTTATAGAAAATGTTGTAGTATTTACATATGCTTTACATATATCCTCCCTTACACTTTTAATCATGTCTAGATGACTTATAATAATACAACGTAAATGCTACGTAAATGATGTTACATTATATTGCTTTTTTGGTATTTTTTATTCTTTTTAAATATTTTTGATATTTGGATGCATAACCCATGGATATGAAAGGCCAATTGTGTATTTTCCCCCCATTTTTAATTTGTAATTGAAACATAACTTACCGTGTTGCCTCTGAGCTTAAATGTTCATTTAGGCTATTAAGCAAATGGTATAAAACCATAAGAAATTACTTAGACTACAATGAGCAAAACATATTTGTGGGTTTGGTCAGCAGATGCTGCTCTGATTTGCCATTAAAATCTTAAAAATTCTTAAAAAGCTCTCTTGAATTTGACCTCTACTACCTTCCAAGGACCCTGAAGGACTCTCCTGAAGGCTTGCTCTTCCTTTAGTGACCCTAACATTCAGGTTTGTTCTTCAGTGGGCAGCCCCAGTTCATACAAACTGACCTGTTGTGTCTGGTGTCTTTAGACTTTGATATGTTGGCCAAATTCCACGAGGTATTCAAATATAACATATACCTGTACTTCCATAAAAACCAGGGGAATTGGGCCGGGCATGGTGGCTCATGCCTGTAATCCCAGCACTTTGGGAGGCTGAGGCGGGCAGATCACCAGGTCAAGAGATCGAGACCATCCTGGCCAACATGGTGAAACCCTATTTCTACTAAAAATACAAAAATTAGCTGGGCGTGGTGTCATGTGCCTATAGTCCCAGCTACTCAGGAGGCTGAGACAGGAGAATCACTTGAACCTGGGAGGCGAAGGTTGCAGTGAGCCGAGATCGCACCACTGCACTCGAGCCTGGTGACAGATAGAGATTCCGTCTAAAAAAAAAAAAAAAAAAAAAGTGGAATTTTGGATCAACTCATTTTGCTGAAATTTTAAACCCCGTTAAAAAAATATATATGTTTGTAGAAAGAAATCCTGGTGCATATAAAAACTGCAATGAGTA